TAATTTGTACCATTCAAATTTAAATGAAATAAAATTCCTATTTTTCTTCCAATTTGTTATTCCATCATTCTTATTTCAATTTGGTTAAGTATTTTTTTTCCATTTATGTGTAGATAACTTAGATTTCTCATTTCTTAATTTTTTAAATAGTTCCCAATTCCCAAAGTTCAAAGGAAAGTTAAATATTTTAGTTTTACAATTTTACGTCAAAAAGAATTCAAAATTAAAAAAAAAACAAAAAAAAAACAATGCAACATGGTTCGGCCCAGGCCCAGCCTGGCACGGCCTGCAGCCCGGTCCAGCCCAGGCCTGCAGCATGACACGGCACAACACGGGCCCGCCTAGGCTTGGGCCGTGGCCTGTGTTGGGCCGACCCCCAAAATTTCCACTGGGGAGCGACATGGCACCCGCTGCCCATGGGCCGGGCTGTGCCGTGCCGTGCTGGCCCAACCCCCTTTACACCTCTTGTCATGGCTAGAAAACAGTTGATAGGAGGTAAAAAGGTCAGAAGCCGTAGTCATATCGTCAAACAGTTGCCAAGTACTAACCATAGCATATGCCTGTGATAGTGAGACATCATCCTTGGCCATACTATTTTGCCTAGTAATATCATACGCAGATTGGATTCTGTTAATAACTCAAACATCGTATTTCTTTCTTCTAGTTTTCTATATGTTTCATCATCTTTTGTGCTCTCCCAAATCACTGTTTCCATTAAGTCAATTTCTTGCTAGAGTGATTTCAGCTTAGAGTAGTATATAGGTAAAGGTTTCTCCCCCTGCCATAGACCATTCACATCATTTTCAGTTTGTGTGCTCTAGTGATAATACATTTTGAGAAAAGGACTGTGCAAAGGAGATTTGGGATAGTGTTATAGAGTCAACCCACAAGTACTGCTAATTGATGTAAGGTTGCATTGAATTCACCAACCATCCTATGATAGTATAATTCTCCTACATCCAATTCTCATAGGAGGGATCATCCTCCTTGGTCTACCTGAAATAAATCCCCATTTCCCTCTACTTCAGACACGAATTCTAATTAACTATGACCAAGCTAGATAATTTGTTCTGTCAAGTTTCACAGTTGTCACAACTAGAAGAGGATCTATAGAAGCTCCCAGACCTAGTTCGGACCCTTGCCCTGCTTGATCTCTACTCTAGAGTTTTCCATAAGTCCAAAACTTCAAAAGGAGGTTTTTAGATAGTAAATAATGATGACTGAAAACAATTAAAGCAATCATTGACCTGAATAGGAGCCAAAAACTAGGGTTTCACTCATCCCTACAACTTGGGAGAAACCTAAAAACTAAAGCTGCTCGTTAGGGGTACACCAAATCTTTGCTCAGCTTGGATTTATCTCAAAAAGGGTCCGAAAACATCCTTTAAACCCTGAACACCAAGTTCAAAACACCTCTAGGACTCTTAATTTGAATTTCTCCAGTTGGCTAGGGTTGAGTAAAATCTCCAAGAAGCAATCTTGGGCATCAATCTGAAGTGAAAAACACTCCGGGAATCCTCTACCAACCAGGCCGAATGAATCTCTGACCAATCAATAACTTATCTCTCCATAGATACTGTTATGGGATTAAAAGAAAGAGAAAAAAGGTAGGGTTTGCTCTGATCAATAAGAAAACTGTAACAGCAAAGGGTGCTGTGGTTATTGAAGAAAACAGCAAAATAAGAGTGGAGAAAACAAAGCAAGAAGAGGAGAGAGAGATGGGAGAAGGAAGAAGGAGAAGAGTCAATTGTACCTCTCTCTAGCCCCTATGATCTCTTTTATTAATCCAAATACTAACAGATGAGGCAATTACATGAATGGCTCCAATAGGGTGGCTAACTTGATAAGCATAAAAAGAAATTAGAGGCCGATATACTTAAGGCCCATTACAGGAAAAGATGACATAAACATAAAATAATAAAAAGTGTTAGTGTAGGGGTATTTCTATCTTTATACTTATGTTGAGGTTGCTGATCTGTAATATTATATTAGAACTAGTGTCCCTCACTTAAATAAGGGCACATGTGTCTTTTCCATTATGTTAGTAATATAAAACATGTTTGGCCTAATGGGAGAAGTGATTTTTTTCCCTTATTCGAACCAGACTTTTCTTCTCTCATTTTCTCCTCCTTTCTCTCTCTCTCTTTCTTCTTTCTTCTTCTCTCTTCTTGGCTGTTATCAGACTAACAGAACTCAAAGGCAGGCTGAATTATAATAAAAAGAAAAAGGCCCATCCGGCCCAATCTTTCTACGGTGTAAACATATCCATCCAAAGATTGGACTACATATGTAACAGATGCTACCACCTCTTAATCATCTGTCCTATTGTTTTTTGTTGTTGGTATTTTGGAAAGGTTCTCTTTGTTTGGGTGCAGGTGGTCTTTGCCTTTTTGACACTTCTACCTTTGTGCGGCCAACAAATCAAGGAAGAATCTTGTGGAGGTGTGTAAGAGCTGTTGTAATTTGGACAATTTGGGAGGAGAAATGCAAGACTTTTCCTTGAAAAGGAAAGAGGTGAGGTTGAAATAGTGGATTGTATTGTATACAGGTTTATATATTGGGTCAGATCTTTGGATGTTTTCTCTTCCTCCCATGATTACATTTACAGGAATTGGCAAGCTATAGCTAAAAAGTTCAACAAAAAAAGACAAAATCTCCTGTTTGGACACCTCCGGAAATTGGGTTTGTCAAGCTGAACTAGGATAGTAATTGTTTTGGAAATCCGGGGCCATCAGGAATAGGGGGAGTATTCAGAAATGAGGATAGATACATTATTGCTTTATTTTTAGGACCATCTGGGATAGATGACTTGGTCAATGCTGAGTTCCAAGCAGTCCTACAAGGGTACAGTTGGCTATAAATTTGAATATTAACAAATTGGCTACTGAAGGGGACTTTAAGATTGTGGTGGGGTAGTTGAAAAACCCAAGTGCTGTAAGTTGGACTTACTGAGAGGCTATCAAGAAGTTTAAATGGATGTCTACCAATATGGAAATCAGGATTCAGTGGAAATGGAGGTCGGAAAAATGGGTTAGTAGATTACTTGGCTAAACAAGGGGTAAACAGGGATTTCTTATTTTGGGGCCAGTTGTTTTTTTTTTTTTTTTGCTTTTTCTCTGAGGCTGCATCTCGTGCCTCAGTTTGGGATGCTTCAATTGTTGTACTTGTTGTATATTTGCCTTTGATCGTTTAATAAATTCCCATTTACTAATAAAAAAACTTGTGGTTCAAATTACTTCAGTGTATTTGTTGGCTCACTTGATTTTTTTTTTTTCAATCGAACATATCAGTCATTCCATGATCACGGTTCACTTTAGAATCCAGTGATTTTTGTGAATGAGAGAGAGCACCACAGAAAGTGACGAGATGAAACAATCTTTATTTTCTCAAAAAATGTTTATTTATAATTCCTATCATTTTTTATACACAATAGTTTAATAGATCAATATATTTACACGTTTAAATTACTAGGTTAAATCTTGGTTGCCAAAACAATGCTTGTCTTGATAGGTCAACACGGTGTCACATAGGTGCCTTTCCTATACTGTTATAGATTTGACATTACCTTTTATTATTGTTATCATTATTATTACAGAAAAGTACACTGCACCGCACTGCAGAATTTTGAATTCCACTGCAGTCTTGCGCAAATCAAAATAACAAACACCCCCACCCTAAAACACCCGCCTGTGTATTTGGCATCAATTCTGAGCTGGCACCTACCCCAACTGTACTGTGGGGCTAAGAATTCTTAGGGTGTGCTGAACAGTCATTCTCCCTTATTATTATTTGATTACTTCATGATTTGAATTTATCCTATTTGTTATTCTGAGCAGTCATTCTCCCTTATTATTATTTGATTACTTCATAATTTGAATTTATCCTAATTGTTATTCTGAGCAGATATGCAGTCATTTTCTGTTTGGTTTTCCCTTCGACTGGGAAGACTATACCAGTTACTTTTTTGGGAATGAATGTACAACTGATTCTGGAGGCGCTTTGACAAATATCAAGGGTTTCGATGAGACAGAGGTGCACTCGTACAACAGTACAAATCATGATATGCCATTTCACTTGGATAAATACCCAGTAACTGAAATACGTGATTGTTTAATATCCATCACTGGTAACTCTGGTAATTCTGCACTACCAAGTAGTATCTTTGCTGATATAATAGAAAAATGCACCAACAGTATTTCGGAAAAGGCTGGAGAATTGGTTCACATGTTTATAAACGGTTCTAATACATCAACATCTTTGTCTAGTTTGTCAGCGGAAGCTTCAAGAGAATGTAAGAAGGCTAACTTAAGACAAAATGAGATTGACAATGATATCTTTCCTGCCACCAATGGAAGACTTGAATGTGAAAATGTAAAATTAGAAGATCAAGGTAACCTCAATCATGATGGTTGCAATGAGACTAAAAGTGAAACTCTGAAAGATAAGTTCACAGTTCAATCAGATGATGTCCTAGAGAATGCACCAAATGATTCTTTGTTCCGAGTGAAAACAGAACTTGTCCGCTTATCTAAGGTAGAGCTGGTTGAGTCAAGGTCAACTTCCAATAGAAATGGTGTAAGAGGGTCTGGTCTAGATGTTTTAAAGAGAAAAAAGAGAAGTTTCTCAACAGTGGAGAGTAATTATCTAACCAGATCTAAGAGGTTACAAAATAGGGAAGAATTGAGTGAGAATCCACATGGGAAAGAAGGGGAAGAACAAATGGTTTGTTCTCAGGTCTCCAGAGAGGTGTCGGTTCTTCTTAAATGGTGTATGAAGGATAAGGTAAAGAGCAATGTGGGGACACGTCACGGAAAGGTTGACTGAGCTGTTTGATTGGTCATAATTGGTGTTTTATGTTATATTTGATTGGTCATGTGCAAGGATTCTCACTCAATTCTTCCCTATTGTCAGATTGAAGAATTCACGGGAATTTTTTTTTTTTTGAAGACGGCCTGAACAACAAATCCTAGGCTGAAAAAATTCAACTATTTCAATTGAATTCGACTTTGTGAATGATATTTTAAATATTTTTCAATGTAAAGTTAAATGTGCTGGTATATGTAAATGAAAGTCATATATCTTTAATTTTCTGTTTGATCCTCTTGCGTGGATAATTGAAGGGAAATATTTTTGGCATATCAAATCCAGTTTGTATCAGGTCAGGTTACTCAATTTTTGCTAGGTAGGGATGTAAAGTTTATAAATGCTCAACTGCTGTCAGTTCCGGATTTAAATCAGGTGGAGATTACATCACCATAAATTTTAAAGAGGCCAAATGATATGAAAATTGGAGATGTGTTTACTATCATTTGAAACCCGGGATAGGGTGAATTAACGTGTCACACGGAGGAGATCACTGCTGTCAAACTCAAACATGGATGATCAAAGTTTTAAGAAAAATTTTGGCCGTCTTAAACTCGACAGCCTGGGATGTCACATTTAATGGGATGAAAGCAGTCTTATTTAATTTTGGAAAAGTAGGGATAACTCCAATGCAAATTCTACAAGCTTTCAAAATGTCAAAAATTCACATTCTATACCAACCCCCGCCCTGAATTGGCATCAATTCGGAATGTACTTTGGGCCTAAAAATTTTAACCCTGGGCTTAACACTATCGTTAATTTCACAGCCTATTTAACAGTCATTGCGTTCAGCTAATCATTGCTTGTAAAAATGGTGTCCAAGCAAACCATCATCGTCAATGTCTATCCTGATGACATTGCCCAGAAGATTGAAAGTCTCGATCCTGCAGTTGTAGCCTCTAAATTGGAGTCTTGTCAGTCATGCAGTAATGATGGTGTGCTGAATCCTCGATCCTCTTAATGAATTCCCTATGTTTCTAGCGGAAGATTTTGCCAGAGGATATTGCTCCTGACAAAGTGAGGAGCGATAGGATTGGCAATGATTTTGAGACTGGTGAAAGGGGGAGAATATACAATGATGATGTCGCCGTGCGGACTGCGGAGAGGCCTCAGCAAGAATGAGAAGGGAAAATACACCTTAGATATGGTCTGGTTTCTGGCATAACAATTAAGAAGGCGAAGAGTGCCGATGACAAAAGCTAATGGCTCTATTCTTGAAGTGTTTTATCGGTTGCATTTTATCAAAGTTTTTGTTTCTTGGGGTGCCCTGCCCGAGTATGGTATTCAAAAAGATTACTTCAAGTTGGCATTGGTTATGGATGCGGGGGAAAGGTATCCTCTAATCCCTATGTTTTTGGCTTATTTCTACCATGATTTAGATATCGTGTTCTTGGAAGGTAGTTGTAACTCATATATAAATATTATCGCAGAAAAAAAGGTGGATTGGCTACGGTGTTTCTGTTTAACCATTTTGAATGAAAATTTGGTAAGCCTTATTGATAACCATGGAGCATTAATTACGCGGTCTTATATCAACGGATTGGAAGACTGCTATTGAATTTGAACATACTTTGGAGCTGGTGCGTTTGACACCAATGGGGACAATGACCTGTTCATGTTTCTATAGAATCTTAGGATTTTAAAAATTAATACTAAATCCATAAATATTTTACTATCAGATTCGGAGCATGTTCAGGAAATTATATACAAATTCAATTTCCGCCCTGTCTGAATATTTTTTTTGTCCCCACCGTTAAAATCGAATAAAACCTGCTCCATTCAGAACGGGTGAGGTAAGGGCTTGGTTTTACGGGAAAAATTGCCATCCGTAACAAATCTATCCTAAACCCCAATAGGGGATAGACAATGAAGCAAATTAGGAAACTGAGGTATGTGTAGGGTTTTAAAGTAATTTACGTAGATACTTTTACCGGTATTTTGACACGATGCCTCCTTATGCAGCAGGTGTCAAATGTAGTAAAAGTGGAAGTTCGCGGCAGGTTCTCGATGGGATATTGTACACGTGCCCTTGGAGAAGACGTTGTCACCATTGTATGTATTCTAGTAAGTCTTGAAATGGAGGGCGGTTGGGAGAATATTATTGAGAATGGTATTCAAGATCTCAAGGAGAAGAGTGCAGAAAAAATATATACCAGACATTAAGAAAGACAAGTTCAGTAGGCCCTCCTGTGCTGATTGTATAAGCTGGGTCAAGATACTTTATGAACTGAAAGTCTTTGGTTGCAATATTGAAAAATTATTGAGACGGCTTGGATTCGTCTATGCTCCTTCGACCATTCAAAATTCTTTAATTCATATTAGGGTAGATAAAAAAGAATTAAAGGCCTTCCATATATATTAAATTTTCTTAAATTCTCATAAAATTATAATATTTTATATACTTCATTTATTTCTCAAAACTCCATTAAATAGGTTTGTACGAAGTCAAAAGATACGATATGTATTGTATCCATATATGTATTCTCTCTTCTGAATTAATTTTTTATGTAGAATCAAACAAAATCATTTTTTTATCAACGACTATTATGTGTCGTTTGAACATTTACTGCCTAAAATATTATGCCAAGTTGATGCAATACGGGATTTAAACCAATTGAGTAAATATTTATAAAGTTTATTTTTGAAGACCCATTTAGTACGGGTTCGGATCTAGTAGGCACGTTAGGTAAGTACAATGAGTGAGTACGTAATAATTGTGTGACACATGTCCCGGTTAATGTGCCTTTTATCCAAACGTTTTTGTTCCATTAGACAGAAATTATCCATTATTTTATTATCTTTGTCAAAATAATTAAAAATAAAAATAATGAAAAAGAAAAACCTAAATGTGTTGGGAATTGGGACTCATTTACGTTATCCTTTTTTATTGTTTTTATTTTTAATTATTTTGACAAAGATAATAAAATAATGGACAATTTCTATCTAACGGAGCAAAAACGTTTGGATGAAAGGTACATTAACTGGGCCATGTGTCACACAGTTATTACATGCTCACTCATTGTGCTTACCTAACATGCCTACTACATCCGGACCCAGTTAGTACATATAGGGGGAGAATGATGCAGTACAGAATGAAGCTAATAAGTTCTATGCAAGTTGGGACTACTACAAGAAATGCAAGAAGCTGAGAAGACGATATTAATAATCTAACCGAATAAGCAATTATCAAGTTATCATCAACGCAGAATTTCTATCTTAGTTCGAATTACTAAGTTAGCATCAACATAGAATTTCTATTTTAGTCATTAATTACCTAGTTAAGCATTACAACGAGATTTACGAATTTATATTCAATTAGGACTTTCTTTTTTGAAGAGATTTAGTAAGATTATAATAAAGATCATTATAATCTATAAGTTCAAAAATTGATTTTAAACTTGTTGCCAATCTATAAGTTTAAACATTTATCACCTAGCTATAAGTTTAAAAATTGATTTTAAACTTGTTGCCAATCTATAAGTTTAAACATTTATTACCAAGCTATAAGTTTAAAAATTGATTTTCAGTTTGGTGCAATACGAGATTTAGACCAATTGAGTAAACATTTATAGAGTTGATTTTTGAAGACACATTTAGTACGTATAGGGAGGAGGATGATGCAGTACAGAATGGAATTAATAAGTTCTATGCAAGTTGGGACCACTACAAGAAACGCAAGAAACTGAGAAGACACTACTGATCTAATCAAGTAAGCAATTACCAAGTTATCGCCAGTTCAAAATTTCTATCTTAGTTTGAATTTACCAAGTTAGCGTTAGCACATAACTTCTATCTTAGTTCATAATTATCAAGTTAAGCGTTATAACAAGGTTTTTGAATTTATATTCAATTAAGATTTTATTTTTTGAAGAGATTTAGTAAGATTATAATAAAGAGTGTTTTATTAGATTAGGAAACTTCTTTATAAGAGGTATAAGGGTGTAAAGAAATCTATATAAAGAGTAGATAGGGCAAAGATAGGGGAGTTTTATTTTGATTTTCTCTTGATTATTTAGTAAAGAATTATTCGTTCTATTTATTTCAGCTCTTGCTTTTTTTAAGCTTCTCTTAACGTGATTTGTTCTTTACTTATTTAAGATATTTATAAACATTGTTAACTATTAATGACCTATTATAGAGAAATAGATTAATCATTACAATATTGTAAATGATCAATACAGACTAAAAATTATTAAATAAAATAATAGAAGCAGCTCTTAGGACAGGGTATAATTTTCTAGTAAAAAACTACAATTTATTTAAAATCAAGATTTGCATACTTAGTCTTGATAGCAGGAATTAAAAAGGTAAATAATTAAGGGAGGATCATTGGACCAAGTCCCCGCTCCCTACACAGAGAACACTGAACACACAAAGTGCAGCAAAGATCCAATTTCTGCATCATCATATTCTGTTATTTGAATTTACAAAACCAGGTGTAATAAGACTTTCCGAGGATTCATCCCTCTGAAGTTTCCAAAATTCATAGCAAGTGAGTCGTAGTCGACCATCACATGCTATTGCCGAACTTCAGTTATAAATCCTTATGTAATATAGTATGTTTAAGTTAGAAAAAAAAAAAAGAAAAGAAAAGAAAAAACATTCTTTAGTTCCCTGAGAAATAGAAGGAAAAAAAAAAGAAAATCAAAATCTGGAGTTAAGCTGTATACATTCTTATCTGTCATCCCTTGAATCTTCCCCTTTGTTATCCTCACTTTTCCTCCATTGTGTGTATCCTTTATTTCTATCCCACCATGCATTAAGTATCATTCCATACGGTGAAGACAGGAGCTCCATGGCAAACAGCAAGATTGTTTGACCTTGGTGTGAGAGACTGAACTGCAGTAGGCAACCAGTTATTACAACTGGAGCCTTGATCATAACCACTGGATTTTAACACAGACACAGATGATGGCTGTGAAAGATAATACAAGTTCCTACCCTGAAACGGATCGTTGTTGGGTGTAGTCAACATGTTGTGATCATAGCCCAATTGCTTAACCTCAGCCTCTCCAAAGTTGCTCCCCTGGTTATTGTTGTTGGTTTGCTCAGCCATCATTGTGCCAATGGGCATTACAAATCCATTGCCATTTCCTCCGACAACACCTTGAAAGCTGCTATTGCCTCCACTACCACCACCACCACTTCCACTCCCACCACCACTGCTGTAGATAACAGAATTAGACCCAGAGCTGTGCTCCATGGATGATGCTGAGCCCAAGCCAATGAGATTGTGCATTACTGATGATGGCTGGAAGAAGTTATGGGTATTGTTTCCCAATTGTAGGTGATGAAAGTCATGGAAATTGTGGGCAACACCTACATCTTGTTCTTGTTTGCACCACCCTCTCTGCTGATGGCCATATGGGTAGTGCATGCTTAATGGCTGGGCCTGTTGAAATGCAATAGTAGGCCAACCGTGATGGTTTAGATTTGTTCCGTAGTTGGTTATTCCATCAGTTAGCTGTGAAGTCATGTTCTCGTCATCTGTCCGGCGACCATCAACACTCGTCTCAGTCTGCTCAGCTTCTTTCAATCGCTTCGCAGCTCCCCCAATCGGTAGAGTGCTGCTTTCCATTATGCTATTTACATCATACCTACTCATATCAAAATTTGTTACTGCATTCAGGCCACGAAATTTTATGGCTGCAATGTCATAAGCTTCGGCTGCCTCCTCTTGGGTGCCTATCAAAATTCACAAGTATACACTGCAAATTAATTGTTAAAGCATAAACACCAAACTCACTTCATCTTCCATCCATTATATAATATTCTTCCAAAAACTAAACCTTCCCCTCCTCCACACCCACCAAAAGAAAAGAAAAGAAAAGCTATTTAGGGTTCTCTGTTGGAATTGCAAAAGAAAAGAAATTTGGTTTAGACAGGAATGGAAATGAGAATTGGAATCAGCTGGAGTGGGATTTAATGCTATTCCACCAGGAATGGGAATAAAATTCTAAGACCCCGTTTGATTAGTAAGAATAGGGGTATGGAATAGGAATCGGAATGGGTTATTCTGATTCCAACTGTTTGGTTGGATGGAATCGGAATCCCATTTCCATTCCTGCTGGAATGGCCATTCCCCTATTTGAGGGAATGGCCATTCCCTGCCCCTCCCTTGGGAATGAAATCCCATTCCTGCTGACCTGCTGATTTCAATTCTTATTCCCATTCCTGTCTGGACCAAACAGACTATGGGAATGGACCATTCCGATTCCAATTCTAGAGGATTTTGATTTCCATTCTGATTCTGATTCCAACCGCCAACCAAAGGAACCCTAATATATTTCATCAAACAAAACAGCTAGGTTTGGAAATGGTCCACTCCAATTCCGATTCCCGACCCTTATTCCCGTGAAAAACGGGACCTTAGTTCCTACAAAAATCTCTCAACAACACACAGCTTAGCTTGGTTAACGAGTAAGGTTGGTTAGCTTACTAAAGCAGCCAGGTTATATTAATTAAAAGGAGAAGAATGACTTACTGAAGGTTCCCAAGTAAAGATCCTTGTTTCCAGCGACCCTTCCGATCCTGGCCTGCCATCTCCCGTGCTGGTGGTGCCTATAAAATAATGTCAATAAGATTTTATCCATCAATTTTTGATTAAATCAATTCATAATTTAGTTATTCCATGTTATTTTAATTTCATATTTTGAATCTTTGATGAGACAAAAGAGAAGGAAAATTAATTTTTCTGCGGATCAGGACCACTCTATTTAATGGCTTCGTTCGTTGTGATCTGAGAGAATCCTCGGTGCCAACATAAGGATCCACACGTCTTAAATGCCACTTACATTAATTGCAAGCTTATTATCTTCAACAAGAATAATAACAACTTCCAACTTCATAACCCACACTTCGGATATTACAGTAATGCTCTTGGACGAGATAGTCATACATTTTAACAATGCTTTCAAATCAAATATATATTTTTAATATAAAGGGCTACTTCCGTTATTTTAAGCTGGAGTTTTACAGGAAGCTAGCCTAGCGGTAATGGAGTTCCACTATATTCGTTTTAGCATTTTTTTTGTTTATTTTGGTTATGAAAAACCGGAACGTACAACTCTAATTCTGTTAAACTGTAAAGGGTTTTATGCCGTTTAAAGTAATTACCTTTCTATCAAAAGGGAAGGAAGGATCCAACAGTACTCAAAGTTTCAGTAAAAAGTTCTGACATAACTACGTTCTGGAAATGCTTGGACATCTCAAAAAAGAAAACAAAAACAGCATAATCGAATGAGCATATATACCTTGTCACTCCACGATAAATGGATGCACCCCGAGAAAACCCACTACTTTTCCTGCATCCATAAAGACATTACCAATTAACGTTTCGAACTTGATAGTTGATACCTTTATAATCTTTCACTCTTTCGAGTATCGTTATATTTGAACAAACAGGAGTGGACCGGACGTACTGATGTACCTTCTCAGAGATGCAACGTACTCCTGCCTAGTCATGTGCTTCATCTCCTCTAGCTCTTTCTCGTAATTGCTGATCTGAAACATACAGAAGATCAGATAGATGTTAGCTTCCATAAAATAGCAGAATCAGATGAGCAATTTGTTGTGGACGGTGGGAATCTTACTGGGAAATTTGTTGTGGTGGTCGTACCCCAGTACTTCAAAGCTGCTAAATCATAAGCTCTGGCTGCTTTCTCCTCTTTGTCATAACCCCCTGTGGAGAAAAAATGGAGGAAAAGACATATCAAAGATCCACTCTTCAGTGGTCTGAATCTTGTACAAAAACAGTGGAGGAAAATGATGTTAACAGACAATACAAAAACAAGAAAAAAAGTTCTGCTTACCCAGATAAACTGCAATAAAGTTTGATAAGATCCACATCCAGAGATAACGAACGAGGGAAGAGTAGAAAGAGATAAATCAGCATATATATAACCGATAGAGTGGTTGATGGTAGGAGAAGAAAAGTCGAGAAGGTTTCAGTGTTCGAAGTATAGTGTAGACTTATACCTTGTCTACCCTTTCTAGTCTGCCCTTCTCTTCGGCAGCTGTTGTCCCATAGATGAGCTTCATATCGACCAGTCCATCTGTGTCTGTACAAAGAATGACAAATAGTTAGCAAATGCAACAAAATACCTTAAGACTAATTTGCATGTAACAGAAATAACAATTAAAAAACGGGATTTACATTGGTGCAAATTAATGAACAAACAAACTATCCAAGAGAGTGAAATAAACCCTAGGCTCAGAGGAAGAAGAAGAAGAAAAAAAAGAAAAAGAAACCTCGTTACACCACGGTAGATGGATGTTCTCTGACCAAATGTATCTATAGATTTCCTTGGTACCGCCTCCACGGCACCGGTTTGGTTATCAAAAGCCGTGGTCACCTTCTGTTTGTTGTCTGACGAGGAACACTCGGCACCATTTCCGGTTCCACTTGCGCTGCCACCCATCGTGGCTGCAAGAAGGGGCAAAGCGGAGTTTGACTGCGATGCGGTGCTCATTGAGAGTGACAAATTCTGAGCGCTTGTGAGGGTTCCACCACCATTGGTCACCGTCGCTGTACTGCCACAACTGTTTCCACCGTCATTTTTGTTCTCTGGCTGTGCCCCGGCAGGTTGGTTTCTCAACCACGTCTTGATCATCGACAATCCGATAGAGTTGTTATTGTTGTTGTTGTTGCTATTGTTGCTATTATTGCTAATATTGGGGTTGTTGCTCATGGTTCCACCACTTGCTCCGCCGCTTGATGTTGCTGCGGTTGACGCTGATGGTAGCTGTAAGGAACAGTTGGAGAACATGTAGTCTCCTGTGGTGCTATCGTAAGTTGTTCTGGTTATCCCGTTGCACCCGTGGAGTTTCTGTTCATGATCCGTGAAGGAATGTCCACCAAGGAAATCTTCAAGCTTGGGCTCCTCGTGGTCTAGGTTGTGGTTACTACTTGAACCTCCAATTAGCATGGAGAGCTCCGAGTTTGTTTTGAAGTTGGTATTGCAGTTCATTCCCAAAACCTTAATATTCCAATCTGCGAAAACCACAGAGGAAGAGAGAGGCAGTCAGAATCTGTGGTTCACACCTTTTTTTGTTTTTCCTGAAAATATCGTGAAGGAGAAAGATGACCGACCTTGTGGTTGTTGCTGGTTGCTTCTGTTGAGTGCTTCTAATATACCAAAGGTTCCATCTGGTCTTAAGGCTGGAATATTCAGTGAAGGAGCCGATGAGTCAGATGTGAGATCGAAGCAATCACCAGAGACGTCGGTGCCGGAGACTTCATCGGAGTTGTAACCGAGTCGAGAGACGGTGGGCTGCGCATGACTTTGAGACTGGGAAGGGAGTTCTTGAGGGGAAAGAGAGAAAGCCAACCAGTTGTTCATGGAAGCCATTTGCAGCTTTCTTTTCTCTTTTTTTTTTTCACAACTTCGGTGAAAAGATTGTTGTTTATGGGACTGTTAGTCAAAGGAAATGAGGTATCACCCCTTGCATGAAGGAGAGAGGAAAGCCATTGTCAGAAAGGGAGAAGAAGAAGATGAAAGCAGATGTGGTGCACTTGTATGGAAGTTGGAGAGAGTATATTGGGTTTGAAAGGGAAGAGGAAAGGTCAAAAAAATAAGAGAAGAAAACATTTCTACCCACTCAAATGGAAGATTTATATAATTCTCTTTCTCTCTTTCTCTCTTTCTCTCTCTTCTTTATCAGTATTTTTATATTTTCTCTTACCATAATTGAAGAGGGTTTTTATGTGAACCTAGCTACCACTTGTGTGTTTCTTATAATAGGTTCATTCAACATGCATGTATCAAAATGGCTCCCTTGCTGAAATTCTCGTCACAAATGCTCCATAAAAGAGAAGCTTTGCTAATGCTCTAAGGTAAGCACACAAAATAAGAATGAGTTTGCAGAGATACAAATGTGATTAAATACGCCAAGAGGGTTCATTCAAAACATGTATCAAAATTGCTCATCCCTTTGTCTTTTTTGGTGAATAAGATTTGAAGCTAGGAATTTGTGAGCTTGTTAATAATAGCAGAAACTGAAGTTGGATAGAATATTATATCCTTAAAAATTTTACCATTTAATTAATTATTTTAACAACTAAAAGAGTATCAGAGGGTCCCTTGAACCCTTATACTTATCCCCATTCTTTCAGATGTTGTTATTTGACCATATTGTTATCTACACTAATCCATGGGTAATCTTATCAACATGCTGGCTCCGTAAAGTTGAAACAATTTATATATTTCTTTGGACTCCAAGAAAGATATAAAGGAGAAATGGCAGGGCCGCAGGGGTGAATACTTCTGGAGAATTTTATAAAATCTTTCTCTCTCTCTCTCTTAGAGAAGCTGCTTTCTGACAAGGTGTGATAAACAATCCAAACAGGGGTTTACCTCTCCACTACTCCCATTCATTCAAACCCAGATGGCAAAAGTCATTTTATGTCAGTGACTTCTCCCCCTACCACTCTCCTAACCGTTTCTGATTGGTTTCTCAGTTGAAAGAGCTATCTATTCTCTGGTCCTAATCATCAAACTGCTCTCTCTCTCTCTGCCCATGACCTTAATGCATGCAGTAGCATTACCATTAAAAAGCAATTCAAATCTTCCCCCAGAAACAGGTAAATAGTGGAGTTAGAAACATGATCATGAGCGGAAATGTTGAAACGATAGTAATGGTTTGCTCGATGCACCCCTGTAGGAAGACAGCAACCCCTATCTTCCGGGTATATGGGTTATTTCATTCTCAACCGTAAGAGACCGATTGGATTGAAGGAAACTCTCTAATAAAACCCCGAAGGATCCATATGGAATCTCAAGTCTCAACGATTGACCTAAACCTTTATAATCTTTTCCACGTCTATTTACAGTTTTTCCCCTCAAAACAACAGTTTTCTTCTTCTTTTATTTCCTTTTTCCTTTATGTATCCATCTCAGCTACCATTACTCCATTAATTATATGCATACATGTTGTACAGAGATGATTGTTTAAGGAGAAAAAATTACAAAGGAAGAGAGAGGGAGAGAGAGAGTTATCTCGAAGGTTGCAACCCTTGCTGTAAGTTTGACCGTCAAGAAAGGAATCAAACACGGTAAAACACATGGGTTTGAATAAATTATAAAATTTAAAGCCTGGCAGCACTGTAAAATTAAATGCTCTCGGTAATCTAATCATAATCATACCCAAGTTTAGCCTTGTGAAAGGAAAAGAGAGGGAGACTTTTGACCTAAGAACGGCTTTTAATTTAGGGTTTACGGGGCGCTTTAGCTGTCTCCTCTCCTCCACGATAAGATTTTTAATTTTTATATATACTTACTGTGTGTCTTATCATTTGTTTTCGCAATTTTTACCGCCTTCCCTTCTCCCTTCTCTTGTGTTTGTCATGCGCACATTCTTTTAGAACGCGCGGAAAACACGATCCTGGCTCCTCCTCTTTCATGCTAGCTCATGCATGGAACCAGCGCCACGAGGGGTGGATGGGGTGCAATCTAAAGTGAACGTCGTTATCACTCGATCTGTCCTCACTTCAAAATTACTATATAAGATTTAGGATTCCCATCCAAGGGTAGCCACCATGGACCTATTACCCTTATAATAACCATGGATCTGCTCGATCAAGGTGAAAGTTACCCTGCGTTTCAACTTTCAAAGAAATTACTGGATTCTGCAGGAAATCATGCTTGTGAGTTGTGGGCATTTGTTTAGTTACGTAAAAGGTGCATGCATGATGCATGATGCATGATGCATGATGCATGATGCACCCACTATTACTAAAACATATGGATGTATGCATGCCCTGTTTCGCACGTGCGCTGCATGTTAGACTACACTATTGGATTTGGACGTGCTCTCCATTCCCACCTTCTTACTCCTAATTTCAATTTCCAAGAAGCCAAGAATTAGAAAATTAATTATAAGAGCTAATAACTTAGACTATATATTGACTGAAGATAGCCTTAAGCTTAGCCTCGGTCGCCTTCTTCACATCCTTTCCTTTTGACAGGAGAGTCTTGGGCTTTGGGTTTACACAGTTACAGGACCCGGGATCTGGTCTCCTGAACTTGCCATTTGTTCTGTGTCCATTGGATCATGATCTACACAATTCCCCGACTAGTCTTTTAATTAGCCATTTATGCATTTCCAAACTCTAATAACTCTCTCCACTGGCTCAGTTATTGTCTTTTTTTTTGGGTAAAAATAGGAGCTATACAAAGCGGGAGTAGCTCGGCCCCCAAAATCATACCTAGCTAAAGATAGAAGCAAGACCATTAGGAAGATTAGAAGAGGTAAAGCAAAGAGAAGAATCCCAGGTGGATAGAAACTTTGCGAGGAATAGAGTTTTGCTCCTCACAGCCCCCCCTCCCCTGTATTGGAAATCTCCACATGAATAACAACGATGTTCCCATTACATGGTAAGATAGGACTGTGAGGTTGATGTGAGGTGTGCTCTGTGAAAAATAGATCTGGACTCTTTTGTGAGTAGTTCAGTCTGCAGCTTGGTTGTCTTCACATTTCAAGTTTTTACGCCCCAAACTGCTTTTGTCGAGTGTAGCCCCATATTTGAGCTTTTGCCTTGTTTGATAAAGATCTTGACCCATGTTAAGATAGTCCCATAATATAAAAATTTTAGGATAATAGTGGAAAAAAAGGCAATAGTTGTAGGCAAAGGGGTTAGAAAGTTGATTTTTTGTAATCGTTTATATTATTATTTTTTTTATAAAAAAATATGTATATATATATATATATATATATAAAATGCTTGTATTTTTTGTTTTTTATATAAATTGGCATTTTTTCTTTTAATAATTTGTTTAATTTTATAGAAATTAAATTAGATCAGATCAGATTCGAATATCCAACATCATTAATGGACTCAGGTTCAAATTGGCCTTTGTGAGATCCGACTGAATCTTCAGATCAGATTGTATTCAACATTTATATTATTTGATCAGATTCGGATATACCTTGATTCAAATCCAATTTGATCATTTTACTTCCCTACATAAGAATAGGGATTTGGAATTGAAATCAGAATATATGCCAACTGTTTGGTTAGGTAGAATCAAAACCCATTCCCCTTCTTGGGGAAATGGCATTCCCTCCCCCTTTCTTAAGAGTGAAATCCCATTCAGCTGATTCCAATTCTTGTTTGAATAAAAAAAAAACCATTACAATTCACATTCTAAAGATTTTCAATTCTGAATTTGATTCTAATTCTGACTATTAACCAAATGGAACCTGAGTCTTTGGGGGGGCGGGGGGTTGAGAGCGTTTTCTACACATGAACCATTCTAGTGTTTTCAAGGTTCACATGGGCTATATTGCTTCTAGTGGATTTTAGCTTAATGAAGACGGCTATTCTAGTATCTTCTATGTACATTGCACCCTAACTTTTCTCCCCCGTCCTGAGTAGTAGCCCCTCTCGATTTATTTTCAAAAAAAAAAAAAAAAAAAAATTCATATTCATTTTCTTGCATCTAGACAGTGTGGGTGTGGGTAGGCTATTAGTATTAGAGAGAAAAAGGGAGCGGGAAATCGTGAAAGAGTGCACCGGTTGGTTGGGAGGAGAGGTTCCAGATGATAACCGACAAGTGGCAGTTGGTCGGTTCACTGTCGTGGGATTCCTTCGGGTCGGCTAATTTAAAAAATAACAGTAAAATGGTAAGTGGCCAACCGTTGGCGCTTGGGAGAGAACGACGTTGCGTTGAAGGAGAGTAAATATCAAGAAAAGATTAAATAATCTTCCTTTATTAAAGAAAATCTTAACAAGTATTTTTCTCATATTATTTACGTAATATAATAATAACAACAATAATAATAAAATAAACCGGTATATGGCAGGGGATTTATATTGCACGAGAATCCATTAATGTTGATGGAAAGAGGAGAGAGAAAGAGAGAGAGTAGAGTATCCATTTCCATTATTCAAAGCTTCAAACCCTAGGAACCTGACTGCCTGGGAGAAATCGGCGGAGCGCCCGTGCCTCCTCGGAAAGATTACGTGAATATTGCCATGCACGGAGGTCGATGTTGGGCTACAGAGAGAGAATATATATACAGTGCATGGGCCCCCAATTGACGGACATGTGCTTTTTTTTTTTGGTACGTGGAATTTAACAGAATGATAATATCACCAGCCAACAAAACAATAAGTTCCAACACCCTGCCCTACCAATTTCATCTAACACCGCACATCTCATTATAAAATTGGGGCCCAACATAGAAGTGAGACCTGCTATATATATAAGATGGAATCTGGATGTACTGTCTATACAAACATTTTATCCTCAGAGTTCTTATGAGCAGGAGATTCGGAATTATAAGATATGCGATATGGATGTTATTGATAAGGTGTTGGAATATAATAGTATCAACAAATTCGGATTTGGTCCTCATAAGTCACAGCACCATTCTCTCTCACATACACTGTCTTCACATCCCCTTTCAGCTGTGTTAAGAATATTTCCGATGAATAAAAACATATAAATAAGGAGATATTTCCAAGCACGGCTGCAAAAGAGATAAAAGATGTGAATATGGTACGAGAACAAGTTAAAAATTTGTGAGAATCAAATCCAAGTTCAATTCGATTCCAACCGTGTAGATTCACTGTTTGTTTG